GGCTGGGTGAGCTCTAAAGGTCCCTTCCAACCCAAAGCATTGTGTGATTCTATGATTAAGGTTGGAAAGGCCCTCTAAGATCATCAGTCCAACCATCAACCCAACACCCCCATGCCCACTAAACCATATCCCAAAGCGCTACGTCTGCCGCCACAGCGGAGGCAGGGACTGAATTTGACGGGGCTGCACCTCCCCAGCAGTCACCGTTCTGTTAGGAAATACCAAGCCCTCCCATGCTCCTCTCAAGGAAGAGGGCAGCGCCGGAGCGGAGCAGCAAGCTGTGCCTTGGGGCACACGATTTCCAGGACAAGGTTGAGGGCGATGCGTCACCCTGTTCGTGGTTCAACCCTGCAGGCACCGCTCCAGCTGTGTAACGTTCAGCTTCAAGCTGGGCAGGAGGAAGAGCAGACAAGCGGGCAGGACCCGCAGAGGAAGGTGGGAGAAAAGAGCACAGGGAACGAGCAGGGAAAGCAGGAGCGGGACAGCGTGGAGGAGGGTGGCTCGAGCAGATCCCCTTCGCTGTCACTGTCTTGTTCTCCTTCTCCCATATCACACGCAGGCACAAATCCACAGCCCAAGGGGGCTGCCGGAGCTGGAGGCCGTGGCTCGCACGAGCCCAACACCCCCGGCGCTGCTGCCCTGCGCTCCCCTCACCCGGGGAACCCCGCACAGAGCTGCAGGGGGATCTGTTACAGCCGCTCCCAGCAAGATCGATTCCCTCCCGGTTACCAGTTAACAACCCGTTAACTCCAATTTAGACGGACCAGGCTCAGTATCCCCACTCCCCGCCCCAGCTCTGAGGTTCTGGGTCCCCGTCCCACCAGCACAGACGCCCACCTCACCTTGGATCCGAGTGTGGAAGTCGGGCGCCAGCACTCGCCGCAGGTAGGGAGCCTTGGCCTGCTGCAGCACGCAGAGCGACCACACCAGGTCCGTCAGCAGGTGAGGTTCCAGGCTGTCTAGCTGGCTCTGGAGCTCCTCGTGGATCTGCAGAGAGGGAAACCAAACAGCTCAGTGCTCCCGATGCCTCCATCCCAAGGTCAACACACGGGTCTGGCAGCTCGACAGATCCCCGAGGCGTTCTGCTGCACCCGACGCGCGCTGTCGCCTCTAAAGCGGTGCTCCTCCGCTGGGTTATTTGCAGAGGGGAGATTTTAAGATCGCTCTAACGTGACCCTGCAGTTCGGGAGCTGCAGCGCACCAGCCCAGAATGCTGATCACTGCGCGGTGTGGGGCTCATCAGAAAGCCCAGCAGCAAACCGCAGAAGCCAGGGATAACGCACAGCTGCAGCCAGCCCTGCCACGAGGGCAGCGTTCCGTAAACGGAGGGCTGGAGGCGATAAATCGAGTTTCTCCAACAAAACCCTGCCGTAAATGGAGCTGGAGGGGGCCGAGACTCTATCGGTGGTGTCAGGATGCCTGTCTGGGAATCACAGCAAGAGCCTGGAGCTCTGCACCCCAAAGGGTTTTCTCCTGTTAACCCTGGCGAACTTTTTTGCAGCACCTCAAAACTGAGCAGTTTTGCGCTTGCTACAAAACGCCTCCTCACGGTGACCATGATTAAGGCTGGCAGGGGGAGTCCAGAGCCCTGGGTGCTACTTCCAAACCCTGCCCTTCTCGCCGTCGCAGGGGAGACCCCCTGGCTCCCCACGCTGGCTTGGCCCCGGGGGGCAGGCTGCCCTGTGGGGGGA